TCCGATTAGGAAAGCATCCTCGACACACCGAGGTACGATGAAAGAAGTGACGACTTCATCGACGAGATCGCGGCCACCTGGCTCGGTACGTGCAAGCACACATATAGGCATGGAAGACACAGGCCATATCTACACTCGTGGAAGCGAATGCAGACAACGATTTTCCCCAGAAGCACCCCTTGGCGAACTGGCGGGGCGTTCTGTGCAAGCAACTCGTGCGACGATCGAGTGTGCATGTATACAGAGAGATCCTTCTACAGTCACACTTTTGGAGTCTTCGGGGGCAGAGCTAAAGGCATACTTAAAATGCACAGCTCTGCACAAGTCCGACTTGGCCGTGTGTCTTATCTAGATTCGAAAGGATCGCTCAGCATACGCAGCAGCTTGCAAGTTTCACTGCATACACCCTGCACACTCACACCACACAGGATCTAAGCCATCACATAAGCACCACCGTGAGGGAACCGCTCGTTCACTCGTCCTTGGGCGGCTTGGGAGCTTTCTTTGCAGCCGTTCGTCGCTTGAAGTATGTCCTCGGTGCAGATACATGCAGTTTCTGCAGAACCATCGCAGCATCGCACATATCATGAAGACAGGAAGCTTGATAATTTGAAGATGATTGTCGAAGGCTTGGCACCTTAGATATAGGCCACACTGAAGGTCACAAGCCAATGAACAGAATCTGTCATCAGACAAGAGGCTGCGATGGAAGCATCGAGCAATGCGAGGTGTAGCTTGCAGGCCTGATTTCAGGGGATGGGAGCCACGAAATGCAAACAAAACTTTGCAAATTAGATTCTTGCTATCGAGAGGCTTCTTTCCGTCGGGACCGGTTTCCACACCACAGAGCAGCTTGTAGCTGGTCAGGATGGCATCTGCAAGCAGGGGTTATTGAATGCAACAGCAACAGAATCCGAGGTCAGAGATCAAGCACTGGAATCGGCGACTCGCACCGACGAGCCTAGAGCTGACTTGAGGTTCTTGAAGTCAGTCCTGAGCACATTTCAGCACGAAAGGATTGGGGGTTTGCACAGACTTTAGGTTTATAGGGTTTAGGTGATTAGAGGCTACAAGATCCTGCACCAGGTTCTTCGGTATAAGGGTTGAGCAGCTCCAAGTAACAATTAGAAAAGTGCTTCGTTCGTCGTTGTTGCGTGCAGAGCTGTTCCTGTGCATATTCAAACTCATTCCCTGTAAGAGCCACGAGCTAGAACCCATTTTTGGAAAGGTTTCCTAGACACTTTCAGTTTCTATAGTGCAAGGTACAGGTCTTTATATTTAAGTGATGTTTATCGTACATGGTTAGACCATACGAGGGTCCCCAGCCAACGAGAGACTAGGGCTTGGGCTTGGGTTCCTATACAGAAGCGGTATGTACATAGGGTTTGGGAGTATACGATTTCAGGGTTTGGGGTTGCATGTGCAAACAAGACCGACAAAACAAGCTTATACGAATTCCACAGAAGCAATGATGCTTTAAGATTTAGGGTTTAGGGGCTTAGGGTTTTTTTGAGAGCCTTTCGGTTAAGAGTTTAGGTTTTAGGGGTTTCGAGGTTTATATGTATGAAGGGTTTGGATCTGCTGTCCATGTGCTCGAGCTCCTCCACAACTTCAGGGGCAGAAAAGACCCTTTTCCAGGCAACAGCCTTTTTAAGCCCTCCCTTCTAAACCCTAGACCCTTCCCTAAGCCCTAAACCCTCCCTCCTAAACCCTAAACTCTCCCCCCTAAATCCTAAACCCTCCCCCCTAAACCCTAAACCCTCCCCCCTAAATCCTAAACCCCCCCCCTAAAACCCAAGAACACCTTTGAAGCTGACCCAGAACAGGAAAATAAGTTGAAGCCATGCAAGAACCCCACATATAAAGCCACAATGGCTCCACCCAGGCATGACGAAAGCGTGAAGGTTTCAGCAGCTGCAGTTTGGCAAAATAGATAAGATAAGGCAAGCTTCTCGTGCCCAGCACACTTCTCCTCCAAGAGCCTGTCTTCCGTGGTTTTGAAGACACCTTTCCTCTTGACGGCATGGTCTTTGAATTTCTTGATCCTAAGACTCAAGTTGTCTTCGAGGATCTCCGGCCACTCCTCGAGCACGACCTTCTTGCTGCCGGCGCTCGAAGCAGGCAGACCCTGGTCATCATCTTCCAAGGCAGCTGCGAGGTTGAATGCAAACACGGGGTCATCGTCCTTAAAGTCGCCGCATATGGCACTCATTTCCTCCTCCAGCTTCAACCGTGTCATCAACTCGTCGTCCACCTTGTCCTCCAGCTCGACGAGGAATTTTTCCTCGTTTGTGTACTTGCATCGCCTTGGATAAGACAGGACTGGGTTGGTAGGTTTGCATATTGGGTGGCAACACTGCATATCTGCGGTGTCTTCAATCAGGGGAGTTGCTTGGTGAGCTTGTGGCGGGTGCAATACTGCATGGCTCCTTTCACCTTGTTCCTCAGACACAGAACGGATGAAACTGCACAGGGAGATACATGGTTTCAGTCGCTCAGTGAACCTAACTTCAGCAAAAGCACTCCGGCCATCCCAGCTTGACCATCTCTTGTTCCGTGCACCACCCACGGACCAAGTTGGTTTTCTGGGACTTCGTTTTCTCCCTCCTGTAAGTCATCAATGTCTCGAGGCGTCCCTGCAAAGGCAATGCTGATATCCCTTGAGCCACTAAAGGGTCGACAGTCCTAAACAGCAAAGTCTCAGCCGAGATTCTTTGTTTCCTTCGTAGTCGTTCTGCTTGTAGCATTTCAACACAAAGTCCCTCAGCAGCTCCTGCTTGGTGGCACCACCTCGGGCAAAAGTTTGGGATTCAGGGTTGATGGTTTATATAGGGCGGCGTTTATGGGTACATAGGGCTCAAAGGTTTATAGGGATACGGGATGAAGGCTATAGGAGTTATATAAGGCTATGTACATGTGTATACCTATATACAACATATATATATATAAACCCCATAACTTTAACTTATAATCACCCCGGTACCCAGTGCGTATCTGTTGTAAATATCAGGGTCGCATCTGGAGTTCGGTGTGGTCAACCTGTACAAGAAGTTCCACTCCAGTTTGTGTGTGGCGGAGTTTAACTTCGTGTGCGACAGCTCCTTCTGGGCTTGGCACAGCTGTGTCAACTGCTCCGGACTGAGATCCTTAAAAGCTTTGGCGAGGCAAACATGAAAAAGGGTTCGGGCTAAGAGGTTTAAGGATATATAGGGTTATCATTATATCCTTAAACCGTTATCTGCACACAAGCGGCATCCTTTCCAATAGCCTCTGCACGTGCTGCCGAAGGCTCGCTGGGGGGTGATGGCGTGCCGGTCCTGGTGGCCTGCTGCATGGATGGTGCTGGTGGGCTGCCAGCTGATGTTGACGGCTCGGAGCAGAGGCTGGATTGCGAACGGGAGCGGGCAAGAAGGGCCGCTTTCGCCTGGGCCTGGGACTCGAGCTGTCTCTGCTGCATTGTAGCCTGAAGCTTTGCCATTTCCTCTGCATCCCGAGCTTCATCTGCCTGCAACTGCTTCAGCTTGAGAACTGCTTGCTCCTCCTCTAGAGCTTCCCTACTCAAAGCTCGGTGGATTTGCATTGCCTCTTCGTCCCTCAGGGCCCTGTCGATTGTCTCTTCACCAGGGCTCCTACAATCGATTGTGGAAGCTGGGTTGGGAGTTGTGGTCGATGAGGGTGTCTGTAGCCTGAGTGGCACATGTGACGGGTGCTTTGGCATCGGCCTGTCGTAGCTGCAGAAGACGTGTCTGCTCTGTTTGCTCCTGCAGAAGTCGTTGCTGTTCGAGACGTGCCTGCTCTGCTTGCTTCTGCATAAGTCGCTCCTTTTCCATGCGTGTCTGCTCTGCTTGCTCCTTGAGAA